TTGCTTGGACACTGGCTGGGTATTGGTCTGCTGGCATGAGATGCTGAGTGACCACCTTTGCATGGCTTGGATTTCTGCTTCTTTTAACAAATTAAACTTTAATCATAGCCCATGAGTTTTCTCTCTTTTGCTCTTTCTGTTCTCGCATGCATCTCACTGGTAGGAGGGAGCAGATGTGTGGATGCTTGGCTGCTACCCACGGTCAACCTCCAACAACACGCACTGCCCAAAAGCCATGAGCAGTCTAATTCTCTCCTGGCCTACCAACTTTGACTGACCAAAACAAATGGTTAAAACATTTTGTTTCTGAAGGTTTTCTGAGGTTCTGCTGATTTTATTTATTGACCTTCCGTTTATTTCTATTTCCCTGTCTACCTATTCAAATTAAACCCTCAATGACATGGTCTGTCAGCCAGACAACTCTCCAAAATCCCCAATGATGAACCACTGGTCATCAGCCACTCCCATGACTGTGATTCCACAGCCAGAAACTCAGTGCTTCATCAGCCTCCTGGGGCCCTTGCTCACCCATACACACCCTCTGATGCCTGAGCACGAGGATGCATTCTAACAAGTCTTCCAGCACCCAAAGGAGAAACAGGATCAGAACACAACGAAAATAGATGGGGAGAAGCTGCTTTAAGTGTTCCTTGATGTTGGCACTTGGCTTGGACTTCACAGGAGGAACACTGTGAGCGTTGGTGGCATAGGGCAGGATGATTTTCTTGCTGATTTAGTGTCTGGGTGGACAGGGAGGCAGCTGACAGCACAGCTATGGGCCTGCTATGTGACACTGGAATATTTGATCATGTGGAAGAAGTAACAGGTCTAGGAAATGTTACGTCTTAGTAGGAGTGTCAGTGTCACAGGTCCAGCCAAATTCCTATATGAATATATTTATAATCTGCCAGCCAAATGTTGCCTTAGAAACTAAGGAGTAAAACAACGTGCAACATTTCCGATAGGAGAAAATTAAACCATTGACATTTACCTCCTCATAAAATAACCTAACCTTGGAGAACTTTCCACTGAGGGAAACGTGTTTTATTTCACACTGCCTGAAGATAAGAAAACAATGAGATCTGCTCACTGAAAGTGCAGGAGAGACAAGTGAGAACAGATTTTAAAGGTGGCAAGAGAGTCCTCCTTCTTTTTATTGGTTTGCTTTAATTGCTGTCCTCAGTGGGAGCCATCAGAGAAATCCATGCCATGAACTGAAGCCATATTTTGCCTTTGCGGGTAGCTGTTTTTTCAGTTGATTGTATAAACAAAAGCCTTTGTCCAACTCCTGTAGTTGGTCCATCTGTCTAGATGTTGCTCTTGTTGCTGCTACATACCTTACTGTTCCCTGGAGTCTTTAGATTATATACTTAAGATAAATATACTTAAATATACTTAAGACAAAATCACTTTAGGCATGGAATCTGCATTTCAGTGTACTTCTTGTGAGTGGACATGAAGCATGGTTTTGAATGGCAAGCTGTCCTCATTTTATTTTGCCTTGCTAAGTATGACAGAGGAGGAAGGCTGAGACCTGGGACTGTTCAGACCGGAGAAGACTAAGAAGGGATCTCATCAATCCTTACAATTCTGTCATTCTCTGATGGCACCTCCTTCTACCCTTCAGAGTAATTTTGGTGCCAGCAAAACCCAAGCACAAATGAAATCCGTTAAGAACAATGTGGTATTCAGAAGCAGGCATTAATATGGTGCCAAATGCACGAGCAGATCCTTCCACCTAATTGTGGACTCCAACAGACCAAAGGCACATCCCTACACGTTCGGGTATGCTATGCCTATGTGTTTGGAGAGAGGTCTGCACTGGTTGTGAGACCCCACCTCACACATTTGGTTAGTTAATGGTGGGACTGTTCTCCTTTTCAGCAGGCTAGATAGATACATTAATTTTCAAGATGCTCCTGAAAGACAAGACTAGCCACACTGACAACTGCTTTACCATTGCAGTTTTTTGCTTAAAAGCTCCCAACAGCTTTAAAGTTTGAGTAACGGTGACATAAAGAAGCATTTAGAGTTAAAATTCCAGAAACTTTATGCTGGTGTTGGTAGGTTTCGTGTGGGCTTAGAGGCTGTCCAATAGAGAACCTCTAATCTCATTAACTTCCCTCAGCAGCATCAACCTTTAGCATGGTGTGAGGCCAAGCTAAGTAAGAGCCACAGGCAAGGGATTTTGCTATCACAGGTTGGGAGCCTAGTTATCATTTGATGGCTGTAAGACCTTCTGCTAAGGAACAGCCTATTCTGTGAGTGACTGTGAGGACAGATGGAGAGGAGGAATCAGGGAATTATTGAGTTACTGAAGGACTGGGATCAGGTGGATGTAAGACCTAGAGATACCTAAAGGAGATTGAGAAGTGAGCTTTACCTACAGGTCAGTGTGGGAGACCCAAATGCAGCTTCTTGCACATTAGGAAGCCATTTAGGGGAATTTAGGATTCAGAATGCTAAACTTGCTGAAGAATGTGGGAACCTTCAATTCAAAACCTTGAAGTTTTGCTGTTTTCAACTTTACTCTGGGAGTGAGAAATGATTTGCAAACATCATGACTGTAGCAGTTTTCTTCATGGGAGAAGAAAACTGCATCATGAGAAGATGGAATGCTTCCATCTTGCACTGTTACAGGTCAGAGGAGGTCCTAGGAACTAATGGAAATACTGTGGGGAAAAGATAAAAGTACAGACAGAGAAAAACACCTTTGACTTGATAACAGTAAAAAATTTATTTTGATTCATATCATACTGAAAAATTAAATAAATAGAACATCAAAGAATGATTGAGACTGCCCACCAACACAGCAAACGAAACAAAACAACAAGAAAATGATTATCGGATTCAATTATGTAGCCAGAAAAAGTTGGAAGAAAATGTGTTCATGAGAGAAACAAAGTGCTCAAGACATTTGGCTTTGGTTAAGAACACAACACACTCAAGGAGTGCTTCAGAGAATTTTCAGGGGTGGTAAACACAGTTCAAGAGTTTGATGTCTTCATATGTTGATTTAGCAACTTCTTCTTTTAAACAAAATAAAACTAGAAAATTTATAGCAGGAAGACAGACAGTCTTCCATTGACAGTGGGAATGAATTCTTCTTCCAGCATCATCTGTTGGTACCTCTTTATTCCAAAGGCATTTGAAGAGCAGTCAGTCACATACAGGATTTGACAGAAAGTTCCTCTGGAACAGAAATGCAATGGTGCGAATTGTCCTTCATCCTACAGCTTGTAAGGTCCACCCTCTACTCTCCTCCTGCTCTGAAAAATGGACCTCAGTGGTACATATTACTACCGGCAGTTGGCAAGAAAAATGCAAATTGCAGGTTGTCACATGAAGACTTTAAACCTATCCAGAACAGTACGAGCCAAGAGCTTTGTATGTGCTGTCAGAAGCAGAATATCCAGGGAAAAGTTGGAAATTTAATTGAGCAGCAACAGGAAACTTTTTAAAATAATACGGGCTAGAAGATAGCTGATTTTTTTTTTTATATCACTTTTCTTGACTGCAAGCTGCCACTTGTAGTAAAATAATCAATGGGAAATAGTACCAAGCCACAACTCTCTTCCATACCTTTCTGAAAATGACTGGAATAGTAATGAAATGTTCCCATTACTGACATCTGAGAGAAGAAAACAGTGTGAAAATAAATTGTAATATTTCAAACTGATGATTTAAAAATAATCTCCAGAATCCAGTCAGAGGGTAAAGATAATGTTGGAGTCTTCCATAGGAATTTTTTCCTCTTAAAGTTTCTTTGCTTGACTAATATTAGTGTGACATCTTTCCAGAAGCATATTAACAATTTAAATAGTGGAAATTATTAAAATAAACAAGATTCAGGTAGAAACATTAAGCATGTTGAATTTGCTCCACCTGTGACACGCAGCTGAGTAGTTGTGATGGCCAACATGCTGGGAGAGGACTTCTTGACATAAGGATCATGAACTGGTCTCATAATGAAGATTTGAAAATCCAGCCCTTTCCCTATTGCTAAACTGAAGAGTTATATGTGTACAACAAAGACAGTTTAGTTCCTTGTTTGGCATCTACGGCTCCTTTCATGCTTTAAGCCCAGTAATAGTCATGTGGGTAAAGGAGTTCATCTTGGTGAAACACGTATATTCCATCTGACTGTGTCATTATGCCATGAACTGCTGCCTTGGAGGGGAGCACACTATTAAGAGCCGGCTGGGGGGACAAATCTTGGACTGAAGCACATCACCAGTGGCAGGGCTAGGCTTTCACTGAGCTCACACCAAAACACCTATCCACTAGGACATGCGGTGGCAACTGGTGCACGAAAGACAGGTCGTTTAGATACAATTTCTGAATTACCTCAAATCCCAAACACTGTAATCCATTAGAAATGAAAGACACTTTTTTTTTCCAGGCCCAATCTGAAGTCCATTGAAGTCTGTGGCAAGAACTCCATTGGTTTCAGCAGAGCTGAAAATTGGTCAACAATCCGCAAGTTCTATTTTCATTATTTTGGGAAGCAAAACCCACAGTTCTCCACTCTTGAGAACCTGAACTTCATTCTCTGAATCCAGACAAATCTGCAGATGTAAAATCACCACTGTCACTTCCCTCCTCTCCTTAAGCTCTGCCAATAATGCATTCACTCCTGAGCAACGCACATGAAGTCTGGTTTACACCGTAGGATCAGTTTGCGTAGATCATGTCTTCATAGATGTTGCCACTGTGCAAGGGATTCATCACTACTGTGTCACTATCTTATATTCCAACCCATGCTATCACTTGCATTTCTGCACTCTCTAAATTTGTAAAAAAATAAGAGGAAAAGATTCCTTGGAACATTTGGATATTTTCCCATAAAAAAGGTAAAAGCTACCTTTAAAAATTAGCCTTGTTTGTGTATGCTTAAGTACAATATAGGAGATATTATTCTTAGTTTCAACTACAAAAGTATACCACTTGGAGGCTACACTTTGGTTAATTTCCCTCCCCTTTATTAAAAAAAAAAACAAAAGAAAAAAAAATACCGTTTGTCACCATTAAAAAAAAAATCAAATCTTTGCACAATATAAAAGGCACATGTAAACGACTGAAAGAGAAAACAGTCCACTTTCCACCTTAAACTGATTAAATAAAAATAAGCATTTTGGAGTAATTTTCACAAAAAAATTAAAAAGTTATGTGTAACTAAACAAGACAGTTAAACAGGCTAAAAAGGCCTTAATTTTCTTTTATTTTTATTCTTTTTTTCTGGAGCTTTCAATATTCTTTTTTTTTTTTTTCTTTCTTACTATGGCTGTATAGGAAGCAATAATAAATAAGATATGATCATAGGTGATTTGATCTGCATTTCCTAGATGCCATCAATGCAAAATGTGGCTATGGTAGAAACAGTTACTACTCCAGGCAACTTCATCACGTTTTTGCTTTATAGTGCATAAAACCAGAAGTAAAAGAGGAAACAGAAGAGAATTTGAAAAGATTAACAGCAGAACTGAATTCATTACTTTGAGGTAATTCTTACTATGATGTTCAGAGCTACTGTAGGTGTCAAATCCTAGAACACATTTCCCATGTTCTTCAAGGATTTCTTGCTTTACTCAAGGAAAGAACGGACATACAAACAGCAGTTCCTGCGCCCAAGCTTCCCCAAATTGCAACAGGTAGATCTTTCACCAGTAATTCAGGAATCAATCTGTAGAGCCTAAGGAGTGAGTCAGGATGTCATTTATTCCCAGCTGGTTGTTCCCAACTATCTATAGATAGCAAGTCAAGTGCAGCATTGAAGCTGGTCCTCAGCTGAGCTCCCTGTGGTGAGCATTGCAGCAGTGTGACACTCCGAATCCATTCCAGATTCACACCTTCAAACCTGGCTGACATCCAGATCATCTTCACTGAGCTTTGTGCTGCTGCATGTTGGAAATTGCAGCCCCTACTTGTCCCTGTGGCTAGGGTCATCTGCCCTTGAAAAATTTAATTTTTTCAATGGAGGCAAGAGTCAAAGTTACATTGAACTCAAAATCCCCATCATGGACACCTGTCTGTCGGAAAGCCCCAGCTGAAGCGTTGTTTTCCCAGTAGTGATGCCAGTGTCCTCTGCTGTCTGCTCCAAAACCATACACATTCACCTAGGAAATAAAAGAACTAGTGATATGGCATGGAAAGCAACTGGTTCATCTGAAATATTGAAAGCTTTTTCTTGGTTATCAGTACATCTATAGACATCACCACCTGAGGACCTCTTTGCTATACCAAGTTGTTCTACTGACTGAGATGGTGCCACCACAGGATAATGGCCCATGGTCTAATCCATGCTCATTACACCCTAAGCTGTGCTGAGAGTAGAAAAGAGTAGAAAAGTCTTCAGTTTGTCCTTGTCTTCCAAATAAAATCCTCTGCAAAGCGTCTGCCCCGCAGTCACTTCTGATCCAGAGTCAGATGGGCATTATGCTTTTTGTTTGTGTATACTCCTGTGGCCTCTCCTCTCCCAGCTGCTCACTCATCAGTGGCTATGCATGTCTCCTCTGGTCATAAGTTAAAATCTTATCTAAAATGAGTTTGCTCATTGCCTACTTGACAGAAACCAATATCCACCCAACCTGCCCATCCTATCTGCCTTGCCATGGTACAGTTTCTGCCAGTATCATTAGGAGTATTATTGTCAGCATACTGTCAACATCCCTCCAAACAATAAAGACTGAGACACAAGCTCTCTTCGATCAGCAGAGCTGTGTCTAGACCAATGATTTTGACAGCACTGGTGGTTTTTTTTCTTCTTCTTCTTCTTCTCTTCCCCTTTTGCTACCAAGCTCATACTTGCATCACCTCACATTACCCAATCAAGGAAATTCCCTCATACTCATGGAATAGAGGCATTTACTGTTCAAATTCACAAGCCTGGGAACAGAAAAGGATTTGAAAATAAGTAATTTGTATTTTCCAAACTGATTATGTAGGAGTTGGTAAATAAAATTACTCCACTGGGATTATGTTTAAGATTCAGATATCTAAATGGGTGTGCTTGAGCACTTGGAGAACTAGGCAGCAATCCTTGAGCTCAGGGAGCAATCCTGCTCCCCAGATGTATTACTAAATGGTTGGTCTGCCTCTTGACTCCACGGACTAAATAGTTAAGACCTCAGTGCAATTGCCCAAACATAAGTGCTACTTGAGATGTTCTTGAGTACTTGACATCTACTCAAGAAGGGCAGATATCACACAGGACCAAGAGACTCCCACTCTTCTGAACTGTCATCTGGAGGTACAGGGCATATTCAGGGCACTGCCAACATCTGCAGGTGCCTGAAGTCAGACAATATACTCTGGACTTCCACTGATGAGATGGATACACAACTAATTGTAGATGTAGATACAATCCATATTTACACATCTTTTAATTCCAAATGGACTACCATCTTTTATGCTCAGTTAAATTTCTCTGAAAGGCATTTTAAACCCTATCAGTCTTAGGCATAAGGAAGAACTGTTTCTCTCAGAGTGGTCAGACAATAGAATGGCTGTCCAGGGAGGTGGTGGAGTTGCCATCCCTAGCAGTATTCAAGAGGTGTCTGGATGAGGAGCTACAAGATATGGTTCAGTGGCTCGGGGTAGCAATGGTAATGGGTAGATGGTTGGACTAGATGATCTTGTAGGTCCTTTCTAATCTTGTGATTCTATGATTCTACCATTAAAAGAAACAGCAACTGGTCATCTAAGCACATCTGAATGTTACTGAGGACTTTGAATCTATCTGAAGAAGCAAAAGGCACAGAAGGTGGCAAATAAAGGTCAGGGCATGATTTTGGCACCTCAGTGTGGTACATCTTATTTAAAACCTATACATCCACATGCAGCCAGACTTTACCTCATCGCATACATGGAGTGCAAATATCACAGAAAGAAGGCCTGTGGAAGGGTATCTCCCATGATTCTGAAGCCAGTTTTCATAGACGTATTTGATAAAAGATGGATTGTAAATCAGGATCTAGGCAAAATTGGAGAGAGAGATTCATTACTAAAACACCTTGGGGGAGGGGGGGAAAAAACAACAAAACAAACTGTAGCATTTCATCCCTATAATGACACCAGGGTAGGAAAGAAAAGGATAATAAGTAATCTTTTAGGACAAATATACAATCAATGAATATACAGATGTTATATTATAGTAGAGAGCTTGGCTACATAGTTATTACACCAAAGCAGAAAACAGAAAAGATAAGGTTGCTTACCCATATCCTGGGCTCACTTAGGAAATTCCAGTGGAGTGGATCTCCAGAAGAGATCCTTCCCCTGGTAGTCAGCTCTTAAATAGGTCTAGGAGAGGTGCAGCCAGGCTCCACCCCTTCCAGCAGCACAGGTGAACTGCCTTCACCTGTGCTCCCAGGGCTGACTCATTGCTTGCCTCAGGTGATCAATTACAAGTTCTGGCCGTGATTCAGCAGTTCCCATACAACAAGTGAAAGGGAAACATAAAGTCCCATAGTTAAGCATAATCCATATTTTCTATGTGCAATTGTGCATATCTACTCCTTTGTCAGACTCAGTATCCCACTTGATCACACTAACATAAAGCCCAAGTAATTCCTCCTGAAACCAATGGGTGTGATTCTGTGCAAGAAAATCAGGCATTCAGCTCTCCCTGCAGCATCCTGCCATACTGCAGGAGAGCTCTGGGGAGTCTGAGGCCTTTTCAAAGAAAATGTAAGATTACATGCTGTATTTGGGGGCAGTATCAGCATCCATATCTTCTGCAATGTATGGCAACCGTGTCTTGGTGTCTATATTTATAGGTCAAAGCAAACCCAAGGGTAGGTATAAACTATCAGGAATCCTATCAGGAAGCATCAGCTGCATTTCTCCTGTTTCCCAAACAAATTATTTTTCTATGTTCTTCTATTTCTTTTTCTTCTTTTTTTTTCTCCAGCAAATCATACATCAGTTCTAAATGATTGTTTCCATTAGATGACCCCATAATTTCCCCAGGAGATAACAGTCTGATGTATGATTTGCTGGAGAAACAGTGACTCCAAAGACTGGTGGGAGCCCTTGTTTTCAACCTTCTTGTACTGAATCAGGAAAAGAGAGGCTTTTCCCTCCATGCTGCGTTTGGAATTAGAGTGACAGTGTTTCACTGCTATCTGGTTAGCTGCAGGGCTTTTTCTTTTACAAAGTCAGGGGTTAATTGCTGATATTTTATCTGTGTGTAATTGCTTCTCAAATGGTGCTTAGGTTCACACATTGTGATAGGAAATACATACTTCTTGTCTCTCTCGTTTGGGAAGCTCCTGAATATCCCCAGCCCAGGGCTAGGCTGGTGCTACACAGTTGTGACACTGCTTTGACAACCTGCCACAGTCTAACTCACAAGGGTTTTGCAGAAGTTAATGTGTCCATCACCACAGGTAGAAGTGAGCTGAGTGATTATTTAATACCCCACATAGGTCCACAGTTGAAGTAGAGTGATACAAACTGATAGTGGCTAAAGGCCTCATCTGAAATCCTTGGCAAAACCCAATCTGGTGAATGAAGGATGCACTCTGATTTGTGATCGTAATCCTCTGGGACTGACAACATACTGTGCCACTCCTTGAGAGACTGAGAGCTCTAAGCTTCTCTGAAAACCAGCTTCTTCAAAAGTTGCTGGAACAAGACTTCCATGTTGTTGGAAAGTCTGTGGAAGATGAAATGTCTTTAACTTCCCTTTACACAGCCTGCCTTGCTTATGTCCTCAGATCATACAGCTACAACAACAGACTGTGCATGATGGCTAAAGGTCCAGCATGGGAACAGTCATCTTGCTCCATTGGAAATCCTGCCCCCAGCAATAGGGTCTGTTAAATCACAGCGTACTTGGGAAAAAAAGTCAGTTTGCTGATCACTATTTAGTGCATAATCCCTAAACAGCACGAAGGAACTAAAACTTTTATCTAAGTCTTATAAAAAGAGTGTATTTTGGTCACTACTTTCATGGATGTTAAAGACTTTCTTGGATTCTTGCAGTCTCCTGAAGAGGCAAATGATCTACAGATGGACCAGCAGAACAAATTAACAAATGAGCACTGCTCACCTTTTCCTTTTTGACTTTGATCTTCCGTGGAACAGGAACATATGTGCTGGTAAAAGAAAAAAAAACCAAAAGCAACAACAACCAACGTTAGTGAAAACTCAGCACAACATAAAAAAATGTATTTCCAAAGGGAGAATGAATGTACTTCACATCAAGTAATACATTCAAATAATTTGAAAGTAACAAGTTCAGAAAGTGGTTGGAAAATGAGGCCGCAATTAAGTAATAGAGCATGAAAAAAAATAATCTGAGCTTTTATTGAAGCAAGGCTTATAGAAAGGCATTACTTTTTTTTTAATTTTCAAGGTAATTATTGACACTGGAACATCAAGGTGGAGCATATTACTACACAGTTACTATGACACAGAGATCATGACTTCTAATTCTTGGACCATTACTTTTGCAGCTTTTGCACGCTGGTAACATGGTTTCATGTAATTTCATGGCAGAAATTCCCCATCAGGGGGAGACCTTTCCCCTCCTATTACTAGTAGCTGCTGCATTATTTTCAGAGAAGGTGGTAGCAGAGCTCATTTCTGCAGTTATTTGCAACTCTGGCATCCCAATACACAGCCCCTCACCACCAGGCTATTCCCTGCCTCCCAGGGGGATGCAGATGGCTGCCAGAAGTTCCCCAGTGTAAACCTTTCAGATCATAGCTTATGACTGGCTTGTAATCACGAGTCATGTCTTGAAACAAAAAAGTCTTTTCTGCTCTGTGTCCCATGAACAGCACATGCTGAGACTGCACAGCTCATCACGAGTGCTGAAAAAAAATCTAACCAAGGTTGAATGAAACAAGGTTGTGTCAAGTGAGAAAATTTGTTGAACTGGCCTTTTAATTGGAGCGTATCTCAAAACACGTCCTGTATACTTATTGCACAGAGGTTGAGAGCCTTCCATTAGCATCATCTAAACATTTTATGTGTGATTTTTGGTAATCCAGTGGTGAAAATGGCAATGTTCTCTTTTCCTGAACTACTTTTGGGCACTCTGACCTGAGATGTCTACTCTGGGCTCGATGTAATAGGAGAGGGGACAGGTGGGTTGCAGTCCCTGCAGGTGTGACACAATAGACATGCACAGAGTTTGTCAGTGCTAATGGAGAAAGGGACACCCATGCAGACTTCTCAGTCTGCCGTTAGCAAATCTGCCCCTGCACCTGTTTCCCATGTCTGACCTTGATCGTGAGAAGCAAGCTTGACAAACCTTTCTGTGCTTAAGAGGACAGAAAGGGCTTCCTTGTTGACAAAATCTCACTACTACATGAATAAACAGTCAGTCTTTTCCAGAAAGGTGACAGTGATGTAGAGGAAACAAGGAGACTATTTCATAGGCATGTGGCCGGGTCCAGTACAAGTGTTCAAGATAATACTGGCAGACATCTCTAATCCACCCTCAAGACTCCTGTAGCTCTTGTCATGTGATAAGTTAGTCTTGCTGATATGAGATACATTTTTTTAGAAGCAATACCCAAGTTCTGAAGAATCTCATACAACTGCATAGAGTACTGGCATAGTGCTTGAAGTCAAATGGAGACCCCAACTGTTAAACTTACATAAAATCTGGGCTGCTGAGCAGCCAGAATGCTTGTGATTTTTTAGCAAATAGATCAGTCCTAGAGACCTACACTGTAATAGGACGTCCATCAATCAAGTGGAAGAAATCTGAAAGAATCAGTAAGCCATCAATTATAGGAATATCTGCTGTCTGGCTTTTATTTTGGACAGTAAAAAGAAAAGAAGTATAAAATATAAAATAAACAATTTAAATATTATATTATAAAATAATATAATAATAGTAAATTAATAATATAATCTGGATGTTGGTGGCCCTGCCTGCCTGCCTGTAGTGATCCTTGGGGGTCCATTCCAACACAAGCCATTCCATGATTCTATGGTAATGCTGCTGGGAGGTGAGCAAGCTAACTCACAGATTTGAGCCTTAAGAGTTTATTATTTCGTTTGAATGGAACACAGAAAATAAATCACTGCATAAAAGCCCAACCAACAGTGATGCCTACCTTTTCTTTTGAGTATGAATGCTGTTAACCTGAGTTTGGTTGACACTATGCAGCCTGTGTGAGACACATAACGGCCATACACATGCAGTAAGGAGTTGAACACTTCTTCTCTTTCAAAATATCAAATTTCAGATGGGTTTTATTCCTATTTGATCCTCTCTCTCTTCCACAATGTACTCTCAGCAGTTTCCTTACACACTATATCTGATATTATGATTAATGCCTCCTCAGAGGTTTATACCATTGGTCTAAAATTCCGTTTAATGTATTGTTATGATTTGTGTGCTTATGATTGTCTGGTTTTATTATGCAGCATGTGCCAACTAATTAATTATGCAATTGCCCTGCTATGGCAAAAATCTTAAAATACTGTTATTTCTTCCATGTGATAAATACATACTGATTTACACCAGCTGCTTACAAGCCTATTAATACAATCTAATTATAAATATATATATCCTGCAACTTACTAAGCAGGGATATTTTTCCCTTAATGTGCTGATTTCTAATTCCTGTTATTGACTAGTAGTTAAGCAATTATATGTTCCAGCCAGGCTAGGACTCACTCAACTTTTACCTCTCACTGCAACCCACTCACTGTGACCTCTGAAAGGTAAATACTCTACAGAACATAGGATGGCTTTGCAGTTTGGGCACAGAACAGTGACAGTGATGGAAACATGGATGGGTGATGCTAGCAGCAACGCATGATGGTCGATGGTTGGACTAGATGATCTTAGTGTTCTTTTACAATCTTAATGATTCAATGACTCTACAGACTGGCCCCCAGCAAGCTCCTCTTCATAGCACAGACATGTATTTGACAAAGATGTATCAAGGGGCTTCATTCAAAGGCCACTGAAAGCAGCTGGAATCCTTCCGTTGCTTCCTGATGGGATTTGGATCCAGGCTTCAGGCCAGAGTTTTTCAATCTTGTTTTAATCAATATAACTTACGAAATAAAAGAATTAAGCCTTGCAAAAAAGGTCAGTGATATTTCTTAGCTGATTCTGTAAGTGGGTTGATTTATCTGAGGTATGACTGTTGAAAATGGATTTTTTTGAGACAACTTATGACTGGACACACTAACTGCTGGTGACCAAGAAAAAGCTAAAAAGAAACAAAATCACATTTGTTACTAATTAAGAGAATCCTAATGAAAAGTGAAGAAAGTAAAAAATGCATTTGCTAAGAGGAAAATATTTTAAAAAAGAATTAAAACTATTTTTTGTCCCATCGAAAAGTTTACACCCAGCAGATAACCTCAATCATGTGATATTGATACAAATATCACATATTTCATTCTCTGGATTAAGAAAAGCCATTTTATCGGAATAGAGAATCTGCTAGCAAGCATCCAGAAAAAAACATACAATTTGTTCACACTTCTAGTGCTGCCAAAAATGCACTTCAATCTGAAAGCACTCATAAAGAAGAAAGAGAGAACAAACATCATTGTGGCACATTATTGCCAGATAAAATGCGTTAATTTAAGGCCATCACACAAGTGCTGCACAAAACAATGTTGCCTCCTCTGTATGGCTGTCAGTCACCACATGCCATGATATCCTGAGACACCTTCATACTGACAGAGCAAAGATGTTGTGGCAAAACTGAGCAGAAGTTCAGCAGGGTTATCTGAGACAAATTCGGGGAGCAGGGCACGAATGGGAAAAGGAGAAGGAAAAAACTAGTCAAGGATGCACAGGGTAACTCCCTGTCTTCATCTACACCAAACCCAAATACTACCTCTTGCATCACCACTACTCCCCACTGAAAGACCCAAGATAGGTGAAGAGAGATTTGCTTCTTCTTCACTTGGCACAATTACTTGTTTGTTCTCTCTGAAAATCCATTCTGGGTGGATGTGAGGCCCCACCTCTGCTCTCATGAGACTCCATCTGGAGCGCTGCAGGAGCCACCAGCACAAGAAGGACGTGGGCCTCTTGGAGTGGGTCCAGAGGTGGCCATGGGGATGACTGGGGCTTACAGGACATCTGAAGAGGGACATTTTACAAGGGCATGTAGTGACAAGACAAGGGTTTCAAACTGAATGAGGGTAGATGTTAGAATGAAATTCTTCATTATCAATATAGTGAGGTACAGGCTGCCCAGAGAAGCTGTTAATGCCTCACCCTAGGAGATGTTGAAGGTCAGGTTGGATGGGGCCCTGGGCAGCCTGATGTGATGAGTGGCAACCCTGACCATGGCAGAGGGTAGGAACTGGGTAGGCTTTAAGATCCCTTTCAACCCAAACCATTCCATGGTTCTGTGATTCTGTATCTCTGGCCAGACCCAGGCACTGAATCCCAGGACAAAGGAGGACACGAACAAGCCAGTGGGGAGCTGAATTGAGCAGTCAGGGCAGGATGAGCCATTTCCAGCTCTTCATCTTTCCTTAGCCATGTAGCTGTGAGTGAAGGAGGAAGAGTTGATTTTCTTGAGAATGGAGGCAGGATTGTTCTTCCTCTGCTGAAAAATCTAGAAAGGACCAAAACTGCTCAGGTAACAGCTGATAAGTATAGCCAAGTTTTCATTTTCCATCTCTCTTCTCTGCTGCAACCCATCCTGAAGACACCCTAAGATCTCAGCCCTGCAATTAGCTATAGATCTGATCCCATGACATGTCTGACCTCCACTGTACATTTGAAATCTGATATGGATTTGTCCCAGAGCACCTGGACTGGAGACAATTTCCCAGCAGGAAATTAAAATAACACCAGACAGAAAGTTCAAATGGTGGCTTTGCTCTCTGAAGCAGGTAGAAGGGAAGGAGTGAGAGTATGAGAACGAGCGGAGGAAACAAGAGAATGTGAAGGGGCTCTCCAGCCTGAGAGCAAGTCTCAGAGCAAAATAATGCTCTCACATGGATCCAGCTTTCCTACAGATGGGTATGGCTCTATTCAGAGAAATGTTGCAAGTGTTTAACCCTCAGGACCTTCCTGGGAAGACTGGGGAGAAGTGGGTGTCTTCTGACCAGGTAAAATGCATAGAGCTTCTGATCAACATGCCCAAGGGAAGAAGTTCTGGATGGATGTCTAAACACCATGGTCTGTGTCTGCTCTTGCTTCCTTACACAAGCATTCTGCACACTCTGCAATCTATGAGGACAGGCTGAGAGAGCTGGGGCTGTTCATCCTAGAGGAGAGAAGGCTCCAGAGAGACCTGAAAGCAGCCTTTCAAAACCTAAAGGAGGGCTATAGAAAGGAAGGGAACAGCTCTTTAGCAGAGTTTGTTGTGACAGGACAGGGGGAAACGGTTTCAAACTAAAAGAGGAGTGATTTAGACTGGATGTGGAAAAAAGTCTTTTACAATAAGGATAGTGAAGCACAAGAACAGGTCGCCCAGAGATGTGGTGGATATCAAGCTGGGTGGGGCTCTGAGTAACTTGACCTAACTGCAAGTGTCCCTGTTAAGTGTAGGGGAGTTGGACTAGATGACCTTCTGTGATCCCTGCCAACTCAAATGATTCTATGATTCCCCCCTGTCTCCTTGTCCTCTTCTGCAAGTGGGATAATGTATGTTGGAGGATCATTTGGCCAGCAAAATGTCACAGCAGGATAGTGTGGGTGGCTAAGACCTCTGGTAAATGACTAACCTATAAAACGCCTGATTCTGTACTTACGCTGCTATAAGAGTGAAAAGACCACACTGTCAAATCCCCACTTCTGATTAACTTACAGAGGAGCTTCACAGACCCTCATAGACACCCATCCTTCAGCCTGTCTGCTTGGTACTGCCCTTACTTACAAGTTGATAGTGCCTGTCGTGAGAGCGGTGACAATCCAGCGCAGGTCCAGGGTTTTGAAGGGGATCACGATCATGCTCACGTTTTCTGCCAGCTCTCTGTAGCTCTCAGGATAAACAAAGTGGTGGGTGGTCTTGCTCCCAACATCTGATTCGTAACCAATGGTGGGTGCCCGGTTCATTCTACAGCCCAAAAATAAGAAGTAAGCAAGTGAGAAAGTTGGAAATGAATGAGGTGCAAATGTGATTTTTCTAGCTTGAAGTGGCAGGAAAAAGTTCCCATGGCTAAAGAGAGTGCTGCATATAGGCTTTTCAGGTGTAGGGATCCCCAGGCAGCTTAAGTGACCTTCATGGTGGATAAATTAAAAGCAAACAAAGGATAGGCTTTGCTGTACAGCTGGGTTTGTCTGCAAAGGTGTCTCTCTGCGCATGTCGCTGGGTCGCCTTTATGGTCAGCAGAGAGCTGGTCAACAGAGCCGTGGGCCAATAAGGACAAATATCCTCTCATCCTAATCAACGTATTAATTACACCTCTTGCAGGTGAGAAAATTACTGCCCAACTAAACTTCACACAGTTTGCCTCCTTCGTACAGGTGTATTTGGATGTCTGGGGTGTAAGTAACAAACCACTATTTGTGATGAAAAGCAGCAAATACTCCTTGGGGTCCTTTCATGAGAAAGCACCAAATTCTCAGTGGCAAATGCAGGATCTGCTGCCAAACCCTTCGTTTTCACAACTTTGATCATCTATCTAGGGAACAAGGAGCACTACAAAACCAGCTTCAAAGCCTGATAATACCTGCTTCATATCCAGTCTGCAGATCAGAGAACCCTACGGTGTGGCTGGCCTTGCATATCTCCATGGTACAGTACAATACCAACAGAAACTCTCAAGTCAGCTCTCAGCAAAATAAGTTTGTCTGTTGCCCAGAGAAGTCTCCTGTAGAGACAGAAGCTCATCTCCTGGCGGGAGGACAAGGAAGGATGTAGCTGAGGAAATGATGGTCAGCATCATATATTGCTGGATAACATACTGCTGTTGCCACTGCTAACAGGGAAGCAAACTCTAACAAATTTAAGCCAAGTTGCATTTTGCAGTGCTCCCTCAGGTAAATCAGTTAAATTTCTTCTAATTTCCTCTAAGGGAGTTATTAACATAGGTAGAAAATCCTGTGTGGACTTGTTGCTGAATTCTCTTCCTTTCCAGCTTTAAGGATCCTCACTGTAATGCATAAAAATACTACACAAAGAGTAAGAATTCCTACACTTCTATCTTGAGATTAGTCAATCTGAAGTACGTTATACATGGCATGTTTTCTGTGAACACAAAGCCAAGCATTGTGTCTTATGGATACAAAGGCAGCAATCATACACAGTCTCAACAGAAAGGACTGGGATTTCACTTAGTCAAAAAAACTGACAGCAAAGCAAAAGTGACCCGGCATACAGTGTATGGAAAGGAGGGTGTCACCTCAGGCTCTTTTCTACACTTGGATCTATTGCCAGAGTATGTGAAAGTGAATTACCAGATCATCAGAGATTTCATTTGTTGGATTAGCACATGGATGGGCCACCTCCTCTGCACAAGGTTCTTCAACAAATCCTAAAACCTTGTGCCATTCATTCAGATCCAGCTTGAGACAGCTAAATTAGAAGTCACATGTAAGAAAAAATTCTTTCTCAGTGAGGGGGTGAGGCACTGGAACAGGCTGCTCAAAAAAGTGGCAGATGCCCTGTCCCTGAAGACTTTCAAGGTGAGGCTGGATCAGGCTCTGGGCAACCTGATCTAGCTGTGGATGTCCCTGTTCACGGCAAAGGGACTGGACCGTGATCTTTGAAGGTCCCTTCCAACTCTAAGGGTTATATTATTCTATTCTCAAAGTCAGAGACAGCCATGATAAATTCCAAATCACAGAGAGTTTCCCCTTTGCCAGGGATGCATAGCTACAGAGGGGGGGACACATCCCCTTAATTACTATAAAAAAAAATTCAATTTTCATTCCAGCAAAGCCTGCCAGGCTTTTCTATAAGAATTTTGGAAACATAGGCCAGGCAAGGTAAGAAAGTCCACACAGGAATTGGGTGGTCTCCAAAGCAAGGAACAAAGAGTTAAGCATAAATGCACTTCCACTGCCAAGCATTTACAACCCATGGGATTAAGGTGGGGGGCTCTTCCCTTCACGTATGAGAAGATCTGGTTGGCTGACTGCCTCTGGGAAGATATTTGTTCGCTGCACGCAAATGAAGGAAGCAATCCTTGAAATCATTTATCAAACACATCTAGGTATCCAAACTGCGTCAAAAATAGAGAGGCTTAAGGTGGCCTAGCAGTTCAATAGCACTGATCTTCTGTTGACTCACTTTCAACTGCTTCCAGCTAAACATTGCATTCTGAGAGAGTAATTTCACACACTGTATTTCCAGTAGTAGTTTCTCCATTCAAGGCCTTCTGATCTGCCCCCAAGGCTCCCTGAATTGTGCTGCACAGCCAGCTGTGGTGTAGAGTTGGAGAATGTGTTGGACTACTGTGGTCAAGAGAGCTCCCCCTGAAACCTTGGCAAAGTGAACTTAGCCCAGATATCTTGATTGCCTTCTGGGAGGTTCTCTATGCCTCCTTGTCTTTCAGCAGGAAAAAATAGACAATGCTCACTGTTACAAAAGACAGAGTTGATACGTCCCCTAATGAAGTGGCTCTAGCCATTAAGCTGTCTCCTCTCTGCACAGGAGCCTTCTCAACCTACCACTGCTTAGAAGTGAACAAGTGCAAGAAAGAAAGATCTGACACAGTCAGTTATGTGTGCAAAATATCATTTGTCAGCCCTAGCTAGAGAGAGAATGTTTACCCAAAATTATCATTTTTTCAGGCATTTTTTTAAAACACAAGCAGTTTTGAACAGTGCAGAATAAGTTACAGTATCAACACATACCTAAATCCAGGACAGGTCATGTTTTCCTTCTAGACTGAAACAAGAAGTCATATCTTTAACACACATAATTTATATTCCTGTAGCTTAGACAGAACCTGAGCACCCGATTTCACTAGGTAGTCCTTGAAATCTTTTTTGCTCTCTTGTCCCAGAAAATAGCAGTGAATCTTCAAACAACAGAGACCTCTGGAGCTGAAGTGGTGCCTGCTTACCTGAGCACAAAGTCATGGGAGTCAATATCTTGGCCATACTGAGACTGACGAAGGTTGCCGGAGTTGCCCACGACGGCACACCGTCTGCATGAGAAAGTGCCCCGCTCCTGCAGTGGGTCCCCGTCCCCAGGAATGATCCCAAACAATTCCTTGAGAGTATCATTAATATTCTTCGGAGATTTCTCTCCTTGCAGTTTCTGTGAGGGAAAAAAATCACTCCAGGTTACCACTGTACCAGTATAGCCAGCTTCTCTGTGAGTGAGACATGGCTTCAAATGTCTTCTCAAAGACCACCTTAGCTCATGCTGCTGCAGACACTGTTTCCCATAGTGTACGCTACAAGGCTTCAGGTGGGAGCTTCAAAAGTGAAGGAAAAACATGGAAAATCCTTTCCCAATTATTTTTTAACTTGCTTTCCCTTTTCTCCTCCTTTTCCATTAACAGCCTCACATCCCCAGTCTCTATTTAGCCATAGTGGAACAGATCATACATTCTCCTCAAGGCTGACCCCACCACAATTAAAGTCCTTCTGAAGTCTAAAAGCCTCATACTGCTTTGGACCAGATATCTTCTGTTAAGACACGTATAAGATTACTTTTAACTCTCCTAGGAAGGACAAAACAGTCTAAGGAACCCGACGGAGTACAGAATTAGGGCCAAGCCAGCAAGAGTAGCCATGGACACCCTTCCCTCAAGTTTTGGCATATGCCAGAAGTGGGACAGTGAGTTTTCACTTCTGTTATTCTGGACTAGCCAGACGCTAGGGCAATACAGTACAGAAAAGTAGAGTTAACCCTGAGAGCTGGAGATGTAAAGCTATACAAAAAATTCTCAAGGATGAAGAAAACCACCCCGGACCTTGGTCACTGTGCCTGTTGCCATGGAGGGAAGTTCTTTGTATCAGTCCTGTGGTGCGTGGTGCAAACAATGGCCAGACGGTGAAGGCAGTGGCAAGGTGCAGGGCAGGTGATGTTACACTCACTCCCTTTCTGGGAATCTGCTCTCTGAGGGCTGCTAAAAAGGTTGGGAGTGCTGGCATGCTGACACAAATCACTGCCCACACCCATGGTGTCACCTGCTCACACGTAGGACAGAAAGCTCTCTAAGGGAGAATGGATCTAAGACAACATCCGCCAAAAGGCTTTGCCCTGCTCTGCAAGCTCAGGGCAAGGAAATACAGGGAGGGAGGGAGGGAAGAAAAATACCTTTCCCACGACTCCCAGCAATAGCCTGGGGTAATCTGGCTTTAGTTTTGACGCTTTTCTCTCACCTGCACCAGGACCTGTAAATCTGTTCTACTCTCTCTACGTACACATAAAGAACTATGACTGCAAATTTTGTTTGATCATCAAAATTATGTGTTGTCTCTTCACAGATCTATGTAAAGAAACCTTATTTGCACAGAATTGAACGACAAGTCCATGGAGGTCAGAGATAAAGGAAAACAAGGCCAAGGACTCAAAACAAAGGAGCCAAAGAAATCTTACCTAACAAATTCATAGAATCATAAAAAGGTTTGGCTCGCAAGGGATCTCAATGATCATCTAGTTCCAAACTCCTGCCAGGGACAGGGCTGCCACCCAATAGAACAAGGCTGCCCAAGGCCGCATTCAGCCTGGCCTTGAATCACTGCCAGGGATGAGGTATCCACAGCTTCTCCAGGCAACCTCTGCCAGGACCTCACCACTTCATAATGAAAAATTTCCCCCTGACTCCTTATAGTTTAAAACATTCCCTCTTGTTCTACCACTACCCACTGACAACAACTTCACCTTCCTGCTAACCATTGCTAACCTACACGCTCACGTATGAATTGCACAGGGCGGTCCTCATTAAAAGAAGTCAGCACAAAACTCTTGCTGGGCTGAAGTTACCATCCATTATTGTCTTGGTTTGCAGCTGATGCTGAGTTTTGGCAGAGACAAGAGGAAGGGCTTGGACTACCACAGCTCTGAGTCCATTGGGTAGTGCTGAGAAATGACATCAATCACAGCATCACTGAAATAGGCACTGCCTTCTTCTGGCTGCATTAATAACTCACCCCTTCGTGTTATTCCTTCAACCCACTCTGAGGGCAGGACATTAGAAAAGCCAGGCCAAGTAATCAAATGGCTGCACCTACAGCTAAAAGGTAATTAGGATGCACAGACAAGAACAGTTATTATTGCTACATATACATACATATGTATTCTGCAGGCAGTTTAAGCACAAATAGTCATTTTCTCCTAAATTTTTTTGTGTGATGTTACCAACATATCTTCACATACCTAAACTTGTATGTTCTTATGAACCCAGTCTAACCTAATTCTCAAAACTAATTGGCCTATAAGCAAACCACTTAATGTTAGCCTAATCCTGCACAGCCTTCAAAATAAATGAGGGCGTTTCATAGATGTCACAGAATGCAGCATCAGGGGTATAATGCAGAAAAATCCCATTTTTTAAGAAGGAACTTGTTTTGAGTTATTTGAACACATACACACACACCATTTGCAGACTCCTCTCTCTGTAAAGACTGAACTGACTTTAAATGCCTTTAAGAAATGAAAGAGAATACCAGCAAACATTGCTTCAAAACATTTTAAAGAACGTAATCACTCTAGGAAAAATAAAAATTTCTTCTTGAACTGATTTTGCTCAACAAAATTCAGACAGAGAAGGTAATTTTCAGAAAATCCTAAGCAGCTGAGCCTTCTTTTTATGTTAAATTACCTTTTCAGACAGAATGATAGCATCAGTAAAGGAAATGAGCAGTAGCACTTCCGTTTTTGGTGCATTATGGACAGGCACAGAATTGAGATCTGAAGTGTCTTTCTGTTACACTGCTATCAGTCTATACTACCTGCGTTGCAATCATGTTAAAATGTGCTCACCAAGCCCAGCCAGAAGGCAGGATACCACTGTCCTAAAATCTCTGTTATACAGAATTTCTCCAGCTGAGATTAGGACTGGCTTTACAGACTGCAAAGACCGTAAGTAGAAGGAGGACTTTTTGCTTAACTCCATCCAGGAAAACACCAGTCCCTCATTAAAGGTGCTGTTTTTATATCCTCAGTGATAATCTGATCGAACTCTGTTTTTCAAGACCAGGACTAATCTTCAATTGTCTAGTCTTTGACTTTTCAGCAGTACAAAGCAGAACAGGAAATACAGTTGTTTAACTTCAAGGCAGATCTCTTTTAAAACTTAGACGTAATATGCAGCCAAGTTCCTTATTTCACAATGATTATTTGACTTCTTGAAAATGTCTACTTTGATAGCTTTATAATTACAAGCCAATTATAGTTCACTTTCCCATGCCAAATATTTGTTTTTGGGGTTTGTTTTTTTTTTGAGTAGTGTTGTCATTTTAACAATCTACCACCAGTTTGGCATTTCCCATAAATGAAAACTGTGAGGAACCTAAGTCCATCCCCATCATGCAAAGCAGAGCCATGTAAACCCTGGCAGTGCAGATGGCAGCATAATGCCCGCTTGGAGCTCTGCTGAGATGTGATGTTCTCTCCAAGTGCTGTAGGTGTGTGCCAGGGATATATCTATGAATGTAGCTGCTGGCTTAAATACACTGAAATACCTGAACCGTGAGTCCTTGGTGAAGTCACTGGTCTTCTCCAAAGTCTTTGCAATCAACAGCCTTATCTAACGGTGCAGTTTAATCTCTTGCCCAATTCCAAAAGGAATCTTTACCTGACTTGTGTCCACATATCAAATATCTCAAAACACTTCAGTCTCTAGTCCTCTGAGAATAAGAGACCAGAAACCTTGGGATTTCCTGTTTTTGTATCTCGGAAGGCTTCCCTAGGCTCTCTGGTACCATCATGCCACCAGTAATGGTACCAAGTATTGCTAAGAAGCAGTACTCAAAACTAACTAAGGGAATGCAAGGGGAGGATGTGAGGATGCTCAGAGCTAATAGCTTGAAGCAGTGGCAATGAAATCAAAGAGTCTAGAAGGGAAAACCTGCTGGTGCTTGTGCACCCTGCACCCATGGGCAATTTGGATAGTTCAGGTTGGATACTAGGAAAAATTTATCCTCCAAAAGAGTGGTAATGAATTGGAACAAACCACCCAGGGACGTGGTGGAATTACATCCCTGGAAGCCTTCAAGAACCATGTAGATGTGCCAATGAGTGACATGGTTTAGTGGGCATGGTAGGGATGGGTTGATGGTTGGACTAGATGTGTGGTCTTTTCCAACCTTAATGATTTCCTGATTCTAAGTTTGGCACTGCATTATATTAGACACACCTTCAAAATCCCAATATATTAGCATGTAGAAAATATCCTGCTTAACCTGAATGTAGGTGGAAATGTGTCACGCCTGGGTCAGTATACAACCTAAGTGGTGGAAAGCCATAAGTGTGGGCCTGGTAGCACATCAGGGACAGCCCTTTTGCAAGAACACTGACAGGCAGCCTAGGAAAGTAAGTGCAGAAATACTGTTTTTCAGTGTTTTCCCTTTTTTCAAACTGTCTTTAAAAGATAGAGACTTAAACCCCATGAGAACCTCTTTTGCACAGCTACTAATTGCCTTGCTGCAACAGTTTGGAGGCATTAAAACTCAGGCAGCACATTCCAGTCATAAGACATTGTACAAAGATTAATCCTAGCAACAGCCTGATGGGGCAAATGCAGGTAATCTCCATTTTGCAGACCGAAGGAAAGGTTAAAAGAAGACCATCAATTTTAAAAATGTCTCCTTGGTCTGGAAAATATGACATTATTATTGTTATACTTAATGTCTTGCAATTACTATGCATCAAAAAGATTTAGGGGAAGAATATAGGGCCTTTCAAGGGTTTGGGTTGGCTTTATGTAATGATTTGTGTCTGTCATAAAATATGTATTTTCAAATATAAACGTAATGTGCATTTTTTATGCAAATAGCACTCAGTAATGTGTGCATGCCAAATTGTATGATTTCCAGCTTCCACGGCTGGTACAAGCCACCTCCACAAGAGCAAAAAGACCCTACCTCTGCCAGCTCTGTGTGCTTGTGTTTCTGGCTGCGGGATGCCTGCAGCTCAGCAAAACTGAGCCTGCTGTTCAGAGGGACTGCAGGTTCAAAGCACTTTCAAATCCATCTATCCTCGTCGCAGGAGAACCTGGTGCTGTCCAGCTGGACATACAAGACACTGCTGGCAGGGACAAGGGGAAACACAAGGTCAGGCTCTTTCTCTCAATATGTCCAAGGCTGGTCTGAACACTGGGCTTGCACCCAAGCAGGATGACACGAGGTCACACCGAGTATGTACAGCCACTGGGACTGCATTTAGCTCTACCTTCTGAAGGGAACATGCTGCCTTCGAGGCGCTGAGCCCTTGGTACTGCATTTCAAGCATCACGGTGTCCCAGTTTTAAAGATTTCTTGTGATCAAAGTATTTGGATAAATTTTCTACAAAGAGCATTCAAAATGCATGACTCAGGTGCCAGGTATCTCTGATACTGCCTTAAAAATAAGAGCAGCTTCCACATGCACGTGGTGGGGATGCCCTTTTATTCACAGTCTGCTGAGAAAATCTTTAAGCCATACATTACACTTTTTCTTATAGCCACAAGACCTAAAAGCTGGCATTTTCTTTTAGATATGCTAATCAAATGTCCCCAAGAGCTGAGCATCATAAAATTCAAGATAAAACATGTTAGAATGTGAAAGTTTATGAACTCTGTGCAGCAGATAAGATTGCCAGAGAACTCTGAGCCTGATTTTACTTATTATAAACTTTAATAAGTTTAAACTTTAATACTTTATTATAAACTTTAATCCATCAGCTTGAGTGGAGTTATTTGGAATTTAGAATAGCAAGTTTCATTCTTGCATTTTTTATACTCTCTGATCATTAAAAACAATGAAGAAAAACTTTCAGGACAAAACAAGAGAACTATAAATAAATGCTATGCCATGTTACAGCATGTATTTTTTTTTTTTTTTTGTCCCAGTTCCTTATATATGGGCTACTGTCATAGATCAACAGAAAACTTGAAAGTGAGCCTGTTGTTCAGGACAATGGGACAGATAATAGGGATAAATGCAGCACGTTGTATAAGGTGACAACTTCCAGAGAGACTTTGACAATCCCTGAAATACAAGATGAGTAAATGCAAATGGACAGAAAGACAGAGGGACACATGAATAAGAGAGGAGAGGAGGGGAGAGGAGAGGAGAGGAGAGGAGAGGAGAGGAGAGGAGAGGAGAGGAGAGGAGAGGAGAGGAGAGGAGAGGAGAGGAGAGGAGAGGAGAGGAGAGGAGAGGAGAGGAGAAAGGGAGGGAAGGAGGGATGGAAGGAAGGATGACTAAATCAAGGGAAGGTTTATCTCCTGGGTGCATTTAAGCAAACAAAAAGTAACAGCTGTACAAAGAAGCTTCTTGTTTCTGTGAACAAAGACACAACCAGGCAGATTTTTAGACCTTCACACATAGCAAGAGTATTTCTCCTCCAAAAGGCCACATACTACCAAGCAGGCTGTATATTCCACAAATACGCCATGAAGGAGACTGATAACCATGCAAAGAGTTGCAAGCAAGCAAAACCGCCGTGTCCTTTGGCCTCACATGTCACTTCACCTCAAATCTTTGTAATTAGGCTCTGAAATCAGTTGTGGCTCTGCTAGAAGTGGAGAGATACTCGTGCCATGTCATCGTTTGGCTGAATAACCCCTATTCATAACTTTAGAAACAGGGTTTATAAGAAGGGAGGGTGGGCTAAGCTTGACAGAGCAACATGTCCAGCAAGGGCTCTCCATGTATTTAGCTCATATCACCTTTGTCTTCCCATTATACCAGAGGCACAGCCTTATACAAGAGTTCCAGCAGAATCACCCTCCCTTCAGTTACAGGGTAATGAAAGCATTGCACTGTCTGGAGTCTGTCCTGCAAGATTTCTGTCTTGAAATGAAGTAACAACAAGCAATTTCTCCTTGTGCTTCATCTTTTAAGTACAGATATAGTGAAAAGTCACCAATCACTGACTTAGCAAACCAAGCAACCATAAAATGTGGCCACAAGCAATGTTTTCTTTAAGACTGGCAGAAATCACTGAATAAACTTGAAAAATGAGACTAAAACTGAACAGCAGAAATGGGGCTCACCCAGGATGCACCTGGGATACATCAACTGCAGAAGGAACTGTCTCAGAAAGGGCTACTCAGACTGGTTGCAAACAGGAGCTGCAGGGCTCCTCCACCATTTAACATTAGATTAGGACAAGTGTTTTCGGTGCGTGGCTGATTTCCTCTGAACAATGCAATTTTACGTGTCACCCAAACATTTCACATGTTCTGGCTGAAGGTAAGTTCTGACTGGAAAACAATGGTGGAAAAAGCGTAGAAATCTTCCATCTAAGAAAAAGTTGCTTTGATTTTGTGTTCTGAAATAGTGTATTCCCTTTGAACTTGACCTGAATTTAAAAAATGAAGGAAAACAGTAAAAATAGAGTTAGATCTGAAAATTTAGGGGAAAAAAAAAAAAAAAAAAGCTTTGGGATAAGACTCTCTTCATTTAGCTGAAAAAGAACCCTCCTCTCCAAATGTCTGTTTCGAGTTGAACTGATGTTAGATATTTGTGCTTTTTCTCTTTCAGTTTCACTACAAGAAGGAGAATCAGAAACTTAGTACTGAAAGTCCCAAGTTTTCTTCCTTTTTTTCAACTTTTATTTTAAAGAGAGAATGCATCCAAGCCTTGTGTTTAAATCAAAGATGGGTCTGAGTGCAGAACTTCAGCCTGTCATCTTCCCAGATGAGAACAACCCACATGAGAAATAGGGGGACCAGAAGGAAGAGCATATGAGGGTAGCAAGAAAACACACGGGTGACTGGAAACCGCTGTCATGGCAAAAGGGCAGGTGAAAAGATGAAAGAGTTGGAATATGAGACTAATAGCCTCAAAGTGGGCTTTTTCATAAAATGAGGATATATTTTATGTAACAGTTGAATATTGCAGTTTACTGGCAGCTATTTTCCACCAGAAAATGCAACAGGCAATGGAGTGAAAAGTGATAAATCAGATTCAGCCTTGTTTCTACAGTACCTGACACCTCCTCCGAGACCTGAACCCCTCCAACGTGCATATGAATGTGCACTTTAATTCCACATTAAGGGCTGTGCACGGGAGACCAGGTTGTAGGCAGCTGTGTGTTCCAAGAAAAGCTCTGTGAAACTATTTTTTTTGTGACAAACAGGGAGGCAACTCATTATGAAACCAGCCAGAACCTGTGCTTTAGCAGCTGGGAAGCAGGGGCCATCAGCAACTCATTTAATGCAAGATCTCATTTCAAGAAAACACAAAAGGGGATTCAATTAGACAAACCATCAGGAAACACCATCTTCTTTCCTATGCTTCTAGAACAAGGTATCTACTGGCTTTCATGATGTTGAGATCCAGCTCTTTGCACCACCCAGTCCTAAGGATACATATGAACTGCTCCCTCCCGTGACCCAGTGTACCTGTGTGCCTTGCAGACCTGTTTTATGTCACCAGCAACAATGCAGCCTGTGCTCATACACATGGAATGAATCATTTTCTGTTTAATCCTGCTAAGTATTTGCAAGTCTTACACTTGGGAGAGCCCCAAACGATTCACACACTTCCCAATAAGTTTGCTTTGCTGCCTCAACAAAAAGGCAGAAGGCCTTTTTTACCACCCGAAGTGAAACAAGCTGCATTACAAATTCTTCTTGCAACAAGAAGGGAGTTTCCTCCCAACAAGAAGGGAGTTAATACTGAGATTCGCAAATCCCTAGCTCCCACAGGGAATTTCATAGAATCATTTGAGTTGGAAGGGACCTTTAAAGGTCATTTAATCCAACTCTCCTGCACTGAACAGGGACACCTACAGCTAGATCAGGTTGCTCAGAGCCCTATCCAGCCTGACCTCGGATGTTTACATGGATGGGGCATCCACCAGCTCTCAGGGCAACATGCTGCACTGCTCACGACATTTATTATAAAAAATTTTTCCTTGTATCCTGTCAAAATCTCCCCTCTTTTAGTTTGACACTGTTTCTCCTTGTCCTGTCACAACAGACCCTGTTAAAGAATCTGTCCCCTTCTCTCTTATTGCCTTGCTTCAGATATCAAAAAGCCGCTCTCAGGTCTCCCTGGAACCTTGTTTTCTACAGGCTGAACAGCCCCAGCTCTCTCAGCCTGTCCACGTAGGGAAGGTATTCCAGCCCTTGGACCATTTTTGTGGCCCTCCTCTGAACATGTTCCGAGAGGCTGATTTTCTTAACTTGCAGGCAACGAACATATGCAACAAGTAACTGTGTGGTAAACATCAGCAAAAACACTCATTTTCTCCCTATTCTGACTGCCTCATCAACTGGGATCACAAATATTTACAGCAGGAATTCCCTCCCACCACCTGTTCATCATCACCCGAGGTCCTAAATCTCAACACACCAAGGGCAGGCCGCCTCCCCACCAGCACACCTTCCACTTACCAGCCACCACCTGTAGCTGTCCTCTGGGATCAAGGCATTTTGTGAGGTCAGGAAAGGTTGCATAGTTGAGTTAAACCTCTGGTCGAACCAGAGGGAATGTCCCAGCTCAGAAATACAGGTGCTACAGCTACACGGCCTCCTAGGAAATTTGATGAGTTTTCGGACTTGCTCAGAAAACTGAGTGATGATGTATCTAGGATCCCAAGTGGTCATGGTCACCTGCTGCTTGTAGTTCAGCAGGAACGACGTCACTGTGATGAGCACGAAGGCGAATGTGAAGACCTTCACATTCCTTTTCCTGACGGTGACCATCTTGGTGCTGGTGGAGCACGACGTGGGGGGAAAGCTAAGGCAACACGGACAGGCTGCTGCTAGTCCTCTCGGGGCTGCTCACCACCTGGGGCCTAGGCTATACCTACAACTGCAGTACCTCCGTCCATAGGGGAAGAAGATTCGTTTTTCCCAGACACACTTAAAAAAAGGCAGAGCTGGGTATTTCTTTTCCCTATTCACGGTGCTTGGAAATCTCTTCCACTATGGCTTCAACAAAGACAGATCCTTATCCTTTCACATTCCAGGTCTTCTGTGCAGTACCCAAACTGTAAAAAGCAGACCGTGTTCTTTCTTTTCTTGTAGACAGTTCACCAAGGATCAGATCATTAGGGGATGTATATTCCAGCTGAGAAACATACTTTGATGTCCATTTAAGCCATATAGAGCAGTTCGCAGCCTGGAGACACACACATAGAAAAAGAGTAAAACAAATGTCAGTTTCCATGCTTTTCACTGCCCATCCCAAAACTTGAGCCCTCAACACAGCACCAGCTATGACTTCAGCTGCCCTAAATGCATACCAAGGAGTTTCAGGCTGAAATTTCCAAAAGGGCAGAACATCAACCTGTGGACGTTGAGCCCCTTTATATTGAGTCAGCCACAGCTCTCTGGCCCTGTTTGAATTACAGGTCAGTCATTTGAATAGCAATGAAACACCTTATTCCCTTAGGCTGACCTTGATAGCCACCAGATAAGCCAAGTATGCATAACATGATCCAGCTGAACAAAAAGCGCCAGACAGAGGAGGGAAGGACAGGAAGGAAGAAGAGTTCATTCCATTCTCTTTCTCCCCCAACAGGCTTCATTTCCTAAGCATTCTGGCTGGATTTGTAATTCGGAGAAAGCTAAGCAAGAATAGCTCATATATTCTGGGACAGACGGAGGAAGTTAAAGGATAAATGGCCTTTGTTTTGCATGGATTATTGTTATTTTCCATCTTACTGCCAAGGTAGGTTAGGTACAGCCAGCTTTTGATTTCTGAGGCTCCTCTGAGATCCCAGCCAGGCAGAGAGGCAGGGAGTAGGGGCTGCTGAACAGCCCGGATGGGGGATTTAAGCAAGCACCAAGTCTTTAAAAGCTGAATAATGGATCCTTCCTCCCACAACACCACTGTTTCATGGGAAGAAGATGTCTTGTGGCTTTTTAAAATTTAGATCTTTGCAAAAAAAAAAGGCCTCTAAAGTGTCATCACTTAATCAGCATTCTCTTAACTAAAGGAAAAAAAAAAAGGAAAAACATTGGAGAAGAGTCTGCATTAGAATACGGGCAGTTTGTGAAAAAGCAAAAGCCCAGCAAACAAAGTCTTGTGGACTTAGCTTCAGGCATCCAGCCAGCAAAGAGCAAAACAGCAACTGTTATCTGTCAGAAATTCCCATATTAAACTAATCCTTGTAGGCTCCCTCCCATTTCCCCCCTCCCCCCCACAAGCTCCTACACATAAAGGAAAGAGGTTGCTGCCTCTTCACTTGGGGATCTGCAGGGACACCCTGAAGGCCAAACTGCTTTTCCAAAGGGCTGGACATAGATACAGCACAGTTTTTCAGAGGTGTTGTTTAAATATTTACCGAGTTCTGTAAAGCCAAACCTGAAAGCAGGAGCTTCGATCATGGTTGTGAACCCCTGCTCTGCTCCAAGTTTCTCCTCTGTGATGGGCAGTGCGTGCCACCTAGTTAGTCTCTGCTTGCCAAATGCCCTGAGATTTATTTGCTGCCTGGACCAAACAAATGCAACCAAGGCTGACAAGCAGGTCAACCTGGATAACGAAAGGCTTTATTAACCCAGGCTGCTCAGGCAGTGAATTACACTGCAGAGAGCAATCCTGTGTGCCTGTTACTAAAATGAATATTTTGAAGGGACCTGTGGTGAGTTTTGGTGCTAATCAGAGACCTCCCTGGGTACAGTTTGGGATTCACATTCCAAAAGGCACTGGGGATGAGGTCACCATGCCTTGGAGAGTAGAAATGGGATTTTAACAGCCCTGTCCACACCAGTTGGTCTCTGTGCCAGAGAGCGGTCCCAAATCTGTTTGCTTTACTGGTATGGATGCAGTTGCTAGTCTAAACAAAAACACAGCCCCCAACCTCCCCAGGAAGTGCCAACTCCCAGAAACAAACTGATTCTCCATTTATGGGCCGGATAATTCAAAAGCTGCAATGTTGGCTGGCTGAACTCCTCCTGCTGTTAATGTTGAGCCAAATCACTGTTTGTCAACACAGTTGCTGCTCTTCAGTTATTTTTAAGTGGAAGAGGGAGGGGACTTTCTTGGAAAAGCCCGTAAAATGGGGTATTGTTCAGAAAAGAATACAATTGCAGCCACAAAAACAAACACCCATTTCACAATGTTTTTTTTTAACTCATCTATGGTTAAACTTATATTTAGAATTAAAAAAAAAAATAAAATGCTGTATTTATGCAGTGAACTGCAGTGACAAACTGTAACCATACCAGCCGTTATAGCACGGGGTGAAGGTGAGAAAAGAGCAGAACTCCCACGGCCCTTCTCCAGCGTGGAAACGCACACCGCACACTCTATTTTAATTCTGACTATTTCCGTTTACTTAGGAATGCTCGTGTTTCCTATGGGCACTCAGAATAGGAAAATATATATATAAATATATCCTGACAGAAAGGCTCTCGGGACTATAAATATGATTTAGGGCCTGAGGAAAAGGCATGCTGAAATGAATAGAAAAAGTTTTCATTGGCTTTGCTGTGACTTGGATGAGGCCCATTTTTTTCTGTTAGATCCAAATTAGATCCAACCCGGAGATCAGGATTTTCTTTCTTCCTTGCACTAAGGCTTCTACTGCATCTGAGACCACGCACCGTGCAAGAAGAGTGGGGCAGTGCCAAAGTAGCAGCCAGCCCTATGTTAGCTGCGGCCCTATGTTAGCTGCTGACGTGAGACCTGGCCCTCGGCTAAGTGCCTGCAACCCCCACTCTAGAGGAGTTGTTTCATCTCCCTATACTATTTGTACTGGTCAATTTAACTTATTGCAGAGAAGCAACGTGCAACCAGACATGGTTTTATCAACACAACTCACTGTGACCTTGCCATTCACATATCTGCAAACAGGTCGTTTTGGCATTGGACCAAGGAACAATTCCTGAGAACTTAAGATGTGGAGTTTAAGTGCCCAGCCCTGATCAGCTATGATGCACCAACAGTTTAATGGGGTTGAACTTCACTGTGCCTGTGCCTACCTTTATCTGTTGTCACCAGGTTAAGCTACCTTCAGCTACTGGGTCTTATCTGCAGTCTGGATTTCTCCTGCTTCCTTCCTACTTCCTCCTGCTTCCTATGTAAACCCTTGTTCTCATGTAAAATACCCTTGGACATGCTAAGATAACTTAATTCTGCAGCGAACTTGCAATACACAGTGGCATACAATGCAGAGAAAATGCAAAATTGCATTTCTCAGGCAAGATCAAAAGTGAGGCCGGTTCCTTCGTGCTGGGTTCTAAGTGCAGGAGTGGTTCCAGTGCGACTCCATGGTCATTAAGGAAGGGCAGAGCTTAGTCCTCTAAGTTGTATGAACTGAAATAAAATATCCTGGGACTAATCCACTGCAATTAACTGTGTTCATTATTTTCTTGCATTCTGGAAAGAAGGAAAATCAATACATTTGTTTTCCTCCTGCGGTAGATCTTATTTGTATTCCAAAATCGGAAGAAAGACTTTGGTCCTAGCCAACTTGGAATGTGGATAAAATCAAATCTATGTGATAGACTAATAAAAGAAACTCCTAAGAACTTCAGGAAATACTTTTTTTTTAATAAATCCACCTTGTAATGCAGTGTATTCTCATTGCATTTGTCAGGTAATGTGAAGAAAGCTCACCCGTACGCCACAAAGGAGCAGAGAGAGACATGGACAGGTGGGAAAGTCCAAATAGTACGCTGTCTGGCTGCTTCCTGGCTCATCTTAGGGAGCCATCAACCCATCAGAGCCCATTTCCTCAAGCACAGGGGCATGAGGGCAGATGAAAATGTGAAATAATGACTCAGAGAAAGATCTACCCTGTCTGAGTCCGTGGCTATCCCATGACAGCCTCAGCCCCACTGTCCAGGTGTGAAACTCACGCAGATAAGCCAACACCAAAGCACTTTCTGCCTGCCTGGTGGCACAGAGCACAGTATGGGATGCAAGGGAAAAGCATCGGGGGACAGTAGAGCCTGATCTGGTGCTTAATCTAGTGATTGGCAACCCTGCCCACGCCAGGGGGGTGGGAACTAGATGATCTTTGAGGTCCCTTCCAACCCAAGCCATTCAATGATTCTATAATCCAGGCATGGTGCTGCCCCAGCCTCACCTTCTAGTTGCTGGATCTGGACCAACTGTCCCCTAACAACACAGAGTCAGAACAGCAGTGTGAATTACTCTGTCATTTCAAATCAAGTTTGCCACACACCACAGGTAATGTCGTTGGAAATACAAATCTTCAGAAAATATCATTCAAGAATGAATGACAGAAAATAATCTGAGCTATGCAAGTGGCATTTTGTTGAGGTCAAACCTGTGTGCTTAATGTTGCTTACAATAATATCACTTCTTCCTGACTTTTGTTTCTAAAATTGCAAATTCTTTTTCAAAATTATTCTGAATTATTTTAGAAATGAAAGAAATGCGTAGAAATATTCAAGTGTGTGTTAAAGACAGTATTTCATAGTGGTAATGGGTTGACAGTTGGATTTAATGATCTTGGAGGCCTTTTCCAACCTTAATGACTCTGTGAAAATTCGCAGAATGCTTCTTTTCTTGATTTTTTTCTTAGTCTTAGACAAACAACCAAAAATGCATAATGAAAATAATAATCTCCCCAAGTAAATGGCTTTTTATGGTTGAGTTTGACCACTTCCTAATGCCTGTTTGCTAGCAGAAAAGTACTAACTGCCAGCACATCAGTGACATCTTTGCCAGCCTTCATTTGATGCTGACAGTTCAGGATCCAGCCTCCTGGTCCACAGCCCACATTAAAACCTAGGTGTAAAACAAACTTCTCTGGTTTGATGTCATCAGAATTTTCCATATGCAGCACATTTGTCAGAACAGCACAAAAGCGACAAGAACCAACATCCCTGTATAAAGACATTTCCAGTTTTCCATGCAAACTCTGAACAGCTCAAAGGTTCGGAGGTGCTTTGCATTCACAATACATTGTTATCAAGCCTTTTGGCAACACAAGCTGTATTTCCTCAAGTATGCTTCCTGTTGTTTTGGGACTTTTTCCCATTCATACTCCTCCTGAGTACCTATGTTTCCAACCTTGGGTCTCAGAGCTCCGTCCTCGGATGCACCATGAGGATGCAAAATGAAATCTGTAGAAATGAAGGTCCCAAATGTTTTGGAAGATATCACCACAGGGCAGCAGAAAGCTTGTCCCTGGAAAAATGCGT